GGCCGCTTCAATGACAGCTGCTGAGCGAGACAAGCCAAGATGATTTCCCTCACCGACTCCCAGAGTAAGATTAACATAACCTGTCTCACTGACAGCTCTTCCTCAGACAATGTCTAGCGTTAGTGCTTTCATCTGCAAAGCCTGTTGTCTTTATTATTTCGCCTGTCTTGAGTATTTATGTGTATGTGGATTCATGCAGCTGCGTACAGATGTCACTCCACCAGTAATAAGTCTAGTGTAAAAGTCGTTGGCGGTGAATTACATGACAGGAAACAGACAAAATAAATGTTCTGGCTTAAAAACCGCTTTAATGTGGATGGTGAACTGCACCAGACTGATTGCATGAAGACAGAACAGTCCTATAAACATAGTTTAATGCATATGATCATCATAATCATCAATAAGAAATGATCATATTAGCAAATAATATCTAACCTTTATGTGGTATTAAATGCTAATTATATATATTGGTTTAATTTAATATTGGTTAAATTTTATGGCTTTCCCTCTCTCAACAGAAATTGGAATGGGGCTAACAGGATTTGGTGTATTTTTTCTGTTTTTTGGGATGATCCTGTTTTTCGATAAAGCTCTCCTTGCCATAGGAAATGTGAGTGTTCCCATCTTGTCATTGATATATTTTAACAACATATTTTGGTTATGCCTTACATATTTATAACTATATGATAATGTGAATTATACTAATCAGAAACTAATATAAACAGTGTATATATTATTTGTTTCTTAGAGTAATTACAATATATATATATTTTAAATGTCTCTCTCTCTCTCTGTGCGTGTGTGTACACACACACACACACACACACACACATATATATATATATATAATGTAATGTAATATTCTCACTGGTTTAAAAAAAACAAAACAATTTAATGCATGTTTGTGCTAGTTTCTGAGCAATTTCTTTTGTATAACTTTGTTGTGAATAGTATTGTTTTGCTACACATTTCTACTTTTTCCGTCATATTCTTCATTATGCTCCTCTAGATTTTCCTGGTATTAAGTGTTGTCTCATAATAGCTAAAATACAACATTTTTATACCATAATTTGTTCTAAACTTAAATTATGAGTGCACATAGACACACATAAGCACAGATCCCTCGACCCAAAGGCAGTTTCTATCTCTTACCTCTCTCTTGGTCTTCATTTGTCTCAGATCCTTTTTGTTGTGGGCCTGGCGTTTGTAATCGGGCTGGAGAGGACGTTCAGGTTCTTCTTTCAGAAGCACAAAATGAAAGCCACCAGCTTCTTCCTAGGAGGCATCTTTGTAGTGCTAATCGGATGGCCCATCATTGGAGTGATTCTAGAGTTTTATGGCTTCTTTCTATTATTCAGGTATTTTTTTTTAAAGAAATAGGACGCTCTTAACCAGGCAAATTATGCAGCTACATAACTAGTAGCTCTAGATGATGCTGATACAGATTGGCTAAAGGTGGATATAGATATTATCTACACTGATACAGATAAACTACACATTTTACAAGTAAATAAGAAAAAAGTGAAAATTAAATGAGCACTTATTTTACACTATAGTAAGTAAAATGATTATATTATTTAAAAAATAAAATGTACATTATGATCCCGGTAATTCCTAATATCAGTCTATATCTACACTCTAATGCCTTCTCTTCACGTGTAGGGGATTCTTTCCAGTGGTCGTAGGCTTCATCAGGAGAATTCCTGTGCTGGGATACTTGCTGAATCTTCCCTTTATTAGTGGGGTAAGTTTTACCCAGCAGGGTGATGAAGAGGAGAGTGTGAGGTGATCTTTTTCTCCCTCTCTTGGTTTTATTTCCATATAAGGATCCTCTCAGATTGCAGTGAATTTAACACGTCCTAACCAGGCATTATGCAATAAATGACTAATAACAAACATGAAAAGTGTAAATGAGCTACCAAACCATTAAACAAGCATGTTCTAATTGAATGTGATTGTGTTAGCATTTACACTATCAGTGTGAACAGATAAACCGCTTATCAATATAAACGTATTACGTCATGTCTGGTTAGGACACGGTCCTATTGTAAATTCACTTCAAAAGCTTTTGCTTGCTTTAGCAGCTATGAGACTAACATGCTTTTGCACAAAATGTCACATATATTCAAATATTCCAGTAGCTTTGTGATGAAGTAATATTTTTCCTTAGGTTTTAAAAATACCATCTTAGTACAAGATAATTCTATTCTTAGTAGAATAGAACTGAATATCTGAAATTACACATATTACTGTTTGAAAAAGAAATTGTTTTTTTTCAGTAAGGATGCGTTAATCAAAAGTGACAGTAAAGACATTTATAATATTACAATATCCTGAAATCATGTCAAATGTAATATTTTTGTGAAAAATATTTAGCAGCACTGTTTTAAGCATTGGCAATAATAAGTAGTAAAGTTTCTTGAGCAGCAAATCAGCATATTAGAATGATTTCTGAAGGATCATGTGACACTGAAGACTGGAGTAATGATGCTGAAAATTCAGCTTCGCCATCACAGAAATAACTTCTATTTTATAATGCATTTAAAAAAAGAAAATTACTATTTAAATTGTAATAACCTTTCACGGTATTACTGTTTTACTGTATTTTTGGTCAAATAAATGCTGCCTTGGTGAGCATAAGAGACTACTTTCAAAAACATTAAAAAAACCTTACCGGACCTAAACTTTTTGTATGGTATCAACTACATAACCTGAACTGATGATACCACTCAAATAGTGGCTAACACACATTAGGCTTTTTTGGGCACCTGTTTTCACCTCATGCAAGAAAACAGTCTTGCGAGTGTCTTTCAACATCTGTTTGTTGTTCTTTTAATGCCTTCCTAAGGCTGAGCGGACAGTCAGTCATCTTGGTCAGTCACTGCTAATTCTGTCTTGCATGCGAGCATGAATCATGCTGTCCTGTGTCCAGTATTTTAAGTGATAAACATGTCATGAATAGGAATATATATTATTGTATTGTTATATCTATAAATGATTTTTTAAAAGTGTCCTAATCCTTCCATACCTCTTTTTGTTTCTCCAGTATGTGGACAAAATGAGTGAAAGCAACAACATGGTTTAACAGACTCTTTTTTACCACTTATTTATAATGGATTTTCTAAAGCTTTACCTTAAAACAGCCAGGAGAAGTATAGAGGTCGTATTACCGAAGCTTTCTATTCAGACGTGTTTCCATTGTAAGGACGTCTGAGTGATATTTACGTCAGTGAAATGCAAAGTGTGCAGCGTGGAAAACAAGCCACTCCTTCGTCGGCTGGCCAAAGCAAAGCTGCGTCACAGCATCACTGCATCCCTGAACAACTGTGCCCTCATTTATAAATGCAAACTTCATCAAGAAGTTACTGGAGATCCTCCCATGAAGAATGTTTGTTTGACTGTGTAGAAGCGACTTCTGGAAGTCTGTATTCTGTTACATTAATGGCCTTGTTACACGCTTGTGTCTATAATTGTATTTTCAAGAGGGAGGAGAGCTGGATGACTCTAATTTCTGTTTTTTCCCCTATCACACCTGCTGAAACTGTGTGATATTTACACTTTATTTTAAAATTAAACTATTACTAATCAGACTGGCATATAGAGTTGTATAGAGACGTTATTATTATTAACAATTTTTCTTTCTGTCTTCAAAAATGGTGGGATTTCAGAATGGTTCAGTTGCCACAAACTTTTGTAAATATACATTTAAAAACTTGAAATGAGGTCAGTGTCTTTATTCTTATTCTTATTGCTTTATTAGGTATTGACACACCATTTGGGGTTCCTCAAAAGGGGCTTTAAAATAGTTTTGTTAATAATAATAATATGGTTGTAATATTAATATACTAAAATAATTATATTTTGATATATGAATCAATTATTAATATTAAATTATCAAGAACAACTGTAATTAATGATAATAAATTAATTATATATATATATATATATAATTAGTGAAGCTCCACATACGTACATATAAATCAGATGTTATATAAAGTATATAATGCGATTAATCATTTGACAGCATGAAAAATAATATATATGAAATATTAATTTTATATATAATAAATTATTTATGTATATTTATATATAAATAATTGATTATTATGATTACATTTTTATTCTTTATTGGTTCTTGTTGATAAAATTATTTGTCCTATTCATTTTTATTAATATTAATATATTTTTTCTCTTGTGACCTAAAGAATGACAAATGGTGCCTCAAGTATATTGAGGAATGAGACAGACTTGTTTTCTTCGGTCTAGCTTTAACTCTGGCAAGATTTGTTGTTTTGTAATCTATTTCAGAGACCACTCACATTTAGGGTGTATGCTTCTTATCCATTATTATTCCCTTCTAGAAGAGACATAAATTGCAAGTAATCTGTAGGCAGATCCCAGCAGATATTTATATATGTAGTGTCAGCAGGGAAACCCCATCAGCCGCTCACTGTTCATTCATAAAAAACGATTAGCTGGTGTATTTGAGACGCTTCATTGCTGAAGGTGTAAACATATCAATACTTTCCGCCCTCTTCTTTTCATTAGTTAGCTATTAAAAGTGCACACGAATGGAAATTTCTCTTCTGCAGCTCTAAAAAGCATCCTAGCTTACAGATGTAAGTGTAGCCAGCCCTGCGAGCGTGTCTTCAAACGTCATAGCAGTAAAGTAGCCTTATTATTTTTAAAGGAAGGGTTAACTAATCGCTCTGAAAGGTTCGTGGTCCGGCCCCGTTGTGAATCAATGGGACTTGACCTATAGCTGAAGACAACATTCATTCAACATTGCCCCACCCTGATGATTATAAATATCAAGGACAGACTTCACAGTCTTCACTCTTGATCTTGCCTCTGAGACTCAACCGCTGAAGAGAACGTCTGGCACTATGAAAGTAAGTCCACATTCATGCTTGCGTTTGTCTCGTACACTTTTAGCAATTAACTTGTAACTAGACCGAATTAAAAAAAAAAAAAAAAGAAGCTGATGTGACTACCAGGAATTTAGTCATTTTTATATTAGGAATCTTGTATTGATACTTTTGTGCATAATGTAATGAACAATGAAGAGAAAATATACAGTGTTACAAAAGGCTGATTGCAATGTTCTTGCACATGGGAAATGATATATTTTAACACATCTTCACCCTTTCAGGATTTAAGGACTCTTGCGGCTTACGCACTTGCGCTGTTACTTCTGGCAACATTTGTGTCCCATTCTTGGAGTGCGCCCAAGGTATGATATAATATTATTTATTTAAACATTTACTATTTTAATTTAAACAATTCAATTATTATTGAATAATATAATTTTTGTTTTATTTTAATAAATATTTAGTTTTTATGTATATTATATATTAAACATATTAAAATATTCTATTTTTATACAACATTTTTTACTATTTTAATTGTAAAATTGTAATTATTTGCAATTTTATTCTTATTTTTTAAAAATATTTTATATTTTAATTATGTTCTACATAAAACAATGCAAGTAATCTCTCTCTTTTATATTTTTTTATATATATTAAAGGGCAGTTTTCAGCGTCGGAATTGGACGCCCCAAGCCATGTTATATCTGAAGGGCACACGTATGTTCCTGCTGTTTTTCAACCATATTTCTGTCTAAAACTGCATATATGATTACTTTTGTTCTGTGCGATTTTGAATGAGTTAGTTTTTCATTGTTTATAACAGAGGGACGCCGCTTTGTGTCAGAAGACCGAAATGAAGGGGACTTGTATGACACAATACACTTGGGTATGAATTATTTATAAAAAATCTCACAGTTTGTGACTTTTGTTGTCTAAACCATTAGTTATGCTTGCTGAGACTTTACAGTGTTACTATTGCATGCAAGTGTAATACTGATGGTAAGCTTGTAAATAAATACTGCTATTAATATGTAAACTGTCCTTCTCCACAGAGTCACGCAGTCAAAACACAGAAAACCTGAGCATCTCTAAAGCGGCTGCATTTCTCTTAAATGTTCTCCAGCAAGCCAGAGACGAGGGTGAGCTTTACTGAAACCAGCTCAAAGACCGCCAACAACTCACTCTTTCATCTGAATACTTCCAGTTTTGTGAGCCATGTGGAATTTAATGTTTTCAAGTTCATCCTCTGCTACAGTGATGCCCGTGTTTGACATCTCTGAAGGTTCATCACTCACTGTTCAACACTATTACAGTTAGATTTGAGTAATGTAGAGTTCTGTGTTTCTCTAGATTGTTGGACTGATCATTGAAATAACTGATAGTAAGGTCTTTTTTTATTTCTTTCAGGCGAAATAGTGGGTTGTTTTTTCCAAGACATATCATCTTGGAAAAGAGACTATTTATGATGATTGAAATTATGTGTAATATAAAATTAACTGTACAGATTTTTTGTCCTTTTCATTTTCTCATGTTAAATCAACATGTGAATTGACTGGTCTGTAAAATACATATTTGCGAATGTGTGAACATTTTCTCAATTAATTAAACTGAATTTGCACTGATAACCGCTACTGTGAGTAAGACTTTTTAATAAAATATGGATAGGATACATATTTGCACCTTATGTGGTTGAACTTTGCTAATCATTGATATGTATATAAAGGTGTTTTTTTCTACATTTGCACAAATTATTATACCTCATGTGGGACTAATATGCCAAATTTAGTTTAAAACACCAAAAAGATGTGTTTAGTACCAAATTTATATTCAAAAGTCTGTGACCAATGGTGAAAATGCTCTTATTTTTGCTTTTTTTTATTTTTTATTAATACAGTATTTCCATGATATTGTCACTATAGCAATTTAAAATGAAAAAGTAAACAGAAGAATTAAAAAAATTTTCTGTCTTAGTATTTGGTTTGTCCCACTTTTGCTTTAATTACAGCAGCATTTGAGTTGTATGAACTCCACAAGTTCATGTCAAATCTGATGATCGTGTTCTCTAGCATGATTTAAGACACTTAAGAGCATCTTGAGCTTTGATGGAAGCAAGAATCATCTGTACAAATGAGTCCACATGGATCAGTTATCATTAGCCAAATGGGTCTATCATTAAGTTCAAATGGGTTATTAAATCTGAGTATCATCTCAGACTTTTAAATGCCACTGTATGTTTAAGATATTTTTTCATTCATAAATTGGAGATACTTGATCAATAATCCATTCAAAAGCTGCAGTCAGACAAATATAGCACATTCTCAGAGGGTAGCGGGTGTAAATATGTCCTAGAGTCAGAACTACTGGAGCAGGAGAGTGCAGATCTTAATTTCCATTTTCCAGCAGTTGTTTGCTCTTACCCTCAGGCTCTGCACCCAGAGTGAATGGTGCCTTAATGTTCTGCCTGTCCTTCTCTGCCTCCTCCTCTTCATCATAGGTGTCGTCATCTTCCTCATCGCTGTGGTGAGGGGTGGAGTGGAGGGAAGCCGATGGGGATGGAGGGACAGAAGCGGGTCGGGGGTAACGGAAGCCTTGTGTCTGTGCAAACAAAAAAAGATTCAGTCACTCATACTGATTCTGACATAATAGTATTCAAAAAATGAGTCAAAATGACATTGTTTATTCAATAAATATGCCTGCTGTATCTATGTCACGTTACATTTCTGAGTGTGTATTCTTAGTAAAGTACATGTGTAGATCAACTGCGAGTGAATGTATGGGGATCAAAAGTTGGAATGGAAATCAAGTCATCTTCCTGTGCAGGTAAATGTTATCCTGTCAATTAAACTCGAGAGTGAAGCTCAGCAGCAGTTCATCACTCTGGAGTGTTAGACGTCACACATACATTCAATAACACTCGGATTAGCATGAGATGAGGTGGACACAGCAGCATTAACCTGTGATGCTGACAATGTGGTATTTGAGGATTATGAATAATGTCAGATATGTGCGTCCTTTAAGGCAAGGTGTATTTGAGTGATTTTTAGAAGAGTTTATTTCTTATGTCATTTTTAATTGCTGTGTACAACACCACCAATGTGGCATAAAAAAAGGCCCAGAGAGATTTTTTTTTTTACTTTGCCCCAAAAAAATAAAATCGCCAAAGGTCAAAGTACACAAGCCCTTGACATGCATGTACTTTAAAATGTAATTTATTCCAGTCATGACAAAGCTGTATTTTCAGCATAATTACTCCAATCTTCAGTGTCACATGATCCTTCAGAAATCATTCTAATATGCTGATTTGCTACTCAAGAAACATTCCCATTGTTACCAGTGTTGAAAACAGTTGTAATGCATAATAGTTTTGCAGAAACTCATTTTTTTTCAGGATTTCTTAATGAATAGATAGAAAGTTTAAAAGATAAGCATTTATTTTTAGTTATTTTTAATATATTTTAAATGTCTTAATGTCACTTTTGATCAAATGAATAAATTATAAAAGTATAAAAGTGTCCTTGCTGAATAAAAGTATGTATATATATATATATATATATATATATTATATATATATTAAAAACA